CAATCCTCAAAACTCTTACTCTATCCCTGTAGATCAATTTTTGTGATTTTACATACCCTGCTCCATACTAAAGGTACAAAGGTGCATTATTTTAGCGCTGAAAGCGTGGCCTAGCAGATATGATCATAGGTAAAACTCCACCCTACCCCAGGAAACAAGACTATATCCTATCCTAGACAACATTGTGCTTTATCTTCAATACAAACAACTCAATCAGAAGTACATAACCAATTTTGCTATCTTGTCTTTAATAGTTATAAACGATATTAGTTATCTGAGCCCACATCTCCCTGTTCACAGTCCAATGAGTTTTCCAAGATAAATCTTGCGACATCACACGATCCCCAGTATGAAATGTGAGAAGTTACGGCAGAGAGGTAGTTATTCTCCATGTAACCTTCTTTGAGGACRTAATCCAGACGTTCATTCATTACTGAAACAAAATTATTGAAAACTATGATTTATTATTTCTCGGACATCATACCAACTTTCAAACAGCCAGTCATGATCAACAACCACTTYAAAAACAAAACAAACGAAAATCGCAAATGTTCTCAAATGCACATTTCCCTTTTAACTTTCATTTAATCTTACTAAAATGATTTTTTTTTCTAGTGGATCTAAAGTGTGAAATCTATCTGTGAAGACTTGAAATTATGGCACTCACACATGCTACATCAAAACCCACCTTTATTAGGTACAACAATATGCTCACACTTTTTTTGTTTRGRCGATCCTTCTGCTCCATCAGGGTCACTTCGACCGTCCTGTTCATCAACRCTCTTTGGTTGTTTAGATCCAAACCAACTGGACATCCACCCACCTTTCTTTTCAGRTACTGTTTCCTTGCTTGGTTCACCTTTAAGAAACTCGGGTCCAGGTGCGTGGTCGACAATGACAATTTCTTCATCTGGTTGATCACTTCCGTCGCTTATTGATGCAGACCTTGACCTGTAACGTTATTTGAAATAAATTGTGAATTGCGCGTAGCTCATCTACTATGTCATMATTATCATCATTAATACCTGCTGTCTTCTGAATTTTCCTTCTGTTTGCTATATCCAGCTCGATAATTAAAGAGACTCCAAGAACTCTTGGTTTCCGAGCTCGGGGGCTTGTTTTCTTGAGCATAACCAATTTTAGTTTGATCAAAACGGTGTAATTTGATTGGTGGGATGGAGACGTAGTCCTCACAAATAAGAGGTTCTAATCTGTAGGCCTGCATTAAACAGAGTACAGTGAAGAGGATTCATATTAACTTGCTTGATGCTTAACTGTTCCGATTATTGTAAATAAGGTTGTGATAAAAAAAAACAAATCAATCCATAATAGCAAAAACCTAACATAATGACAGAATATATACATGGCAAAACGTCTAACTACAAGTTGTAATAACTCAACAGTCTCCCTTTCGTTTTATGACAGCCACTTCCTAGGCAATACATTTCGTGATTGGGAATTTTTTAGGGTTCCAATTTGGAGTTTCTGCATTKAAATTTACTTTTTCTGYATCTCTTAGGGTGTCGGAAAAGAAGATAAAGAGCGCATCGATATTGATTTTCCTCTGCGTTTTATCATTGGAACTGATTTAATTTAACAATACTCGTTCTGCAATTTCTTAGGGGTTAAAAATCAGCCAGAAACTTTACGTGAATCATTGCATCAAATAGAAGGAGAAATCTTTCCGCAACTGACGGATAAAGTTACAGCAATGTAGAGCAAATGACAGAGGGAGAATCGAGAATTTGAATCATCGCGTATGCCTTACCACTGGGTCAGCAGGATGGTAAATGTTGAATATTCTCTTACAAACAGACTTGGGAAGCACATGATCTTCAACGTCATCTTGAGGACGGATACCACGAAGAGCCAAAAACACCGCCAGAGGAGAACCAATGTTGAAAAGGTTTTCTATCTGAAGATGAGCAGAACGAGTTTATCGAACAGCTGCATAATGCCTCACTTACCATGACACACTCACAATCAAAGCACAAAACAACCACAACAAACTATTACGAATAAGCAACAACAAAAAAATGAAGATAGTGGTTTACGTATGAGTGAGAAACTTGAACGCGCTGTACCTTGGCCATACCGATCGTATAAGAATCGAAGTCGCGATACTCAAATTTTTTTTGGAAAATGCTTAATTATCATAAGCGTTTTTAAACAACTGTCTGTGTTAATTGTTCTAAAATAAAATATAGTCAAAGAATTGCCCCACAAAAGTTGTCCTTCGTTTAGCAGCCATATATGGTAATCTTACCTTATTTGGAAGTACGATAGGAATGGTTTTTGTCGATTTTCTCAACTTTTAAAGCTTGAAATCGTCTGAAACTTGCAGATATTATAGCGAAAACACTTCTCAACAATCGGCCATTTTGTTTGTTTCCATATATGGCATGGATTCGCTAAAGGAAGCCCAAAACTAAAAWGCACAGGGAACYCGCACGAGTGACATACAATTCTTTGATATGAAGTGAAAAGGACTTSCTAAGAATTACAAAAAGTTCAAAACTTTTTGGAATTACGAACACAAGTCAAGCAAATAAACTTCTTGTCGTGGCTTTTTGGCTATCATCATATTTTGATGTTATCTTGACTATTTTCAGAATGCTGCCCGTTGCAATTTTCTTTGAAACTATACACTCGCAAGACCACTCGCATAGGTTTCGAACAGCCACATGCACAGGAATTGCAAATATTCTGTACACAAAACTGGGGAAAACTGTACATTTTTATAGMTCAAGTGAATTCAATCGTATCCAAAGAATGTGAAGAGGGTTCTCGACCATTAAAAAAGTCAATCGGCCACGTGTCARCCTTCAACAATCACTCAATATCATTCTTTTTTTTTCAGAGTAATAAAGTTATTTTGCCTTTTTTAGAGGAATAAGTTATTTGGACTTACTTTCCAGTGACTGACTAGTGTCAGTCGATTTGGAAAGATTGTGTTGTAGAAGTCAAACAGATAATCAATTTTTCCGAGTACGTTTTAATGATCTTAACAGAAACGAAAGCCCTGTTAGAAAACTCAACAGGATCACTTTTACATTGTGGGCCATATGTTTTCCTTAAGGAAATTCTCATTATGGAAATGCAATAAGACAAAGTTAGAAATTCAGCACTTACATCCTGACAAWTTCATCCATCCCCTTGATGGCATCCAATACGAGCCAAACCCAAACAGGTCAGTTACCAACAAAGACTCCAGATATTCCTTGAAGATAAGAAATATGCACAGCATATTCTCAAAGCCAAATTTAAATAACACTGAGATCTCACGATGCSACAACAACAAGTAAAGCATTCAGGGACAGACGGCAAAGATTAAGCTCTAACGGGGTGGACACTGAATTGAAATGAATACACAAGTTCATTGCCCCTCTTTCCCTAATATTCAACAGTAAACGGGGTCCGCTAAGGAAACATCACTCAAGAAAGTTTCTTTCCCGTATACGTATTCAGCAGAATATAGTCGCCCTCATCACTAATAARTTCATACCAAGCTTAAAGGAAAGTGTTTACACTAGGACTTCTCATCAATAGACACACTATGGCTGAAGAAAGTCTGGCATCTAGATCAGTACTTGTGCACAACGAACTGTATACGCTATAGAGATCGTAAAGTTTAGCGYGGTCACGTGCATTTTAATGCCACATATTCAGCTGGGGAACAAGACAAAAACTATAAACAGCACAGATGAAACAAGATAAAAGCCTAGCACTATCTTGAAGTCGGTGGTACCACAGCTCCAAAAAATCAAAAAATAAAGAAACTCATGTTTTCTTCCTTCAATGCATTCATTATTTTGTGTGTGTGTGTTTTTTTTTTGAAATAGAGGAGCTATTTTGTGCAATTTAATAAGGATTTTCCGCTTCAGTTACAGAATTTGTACCAAATGAAGAAATGTATACACTGGTATGATGCCGCTACAATGTGAAATTTTCTGTGGTCGTCTCCCAACTCGTTTCGTAGCACCAAGCAGAACTCAGGTCTATTTTTCGCAACGCATTGAAGAACCTCGCAAGGCCACTGCACAGCAACTTTTGTTGGAACTTTCGAATCACGTCCGCTGTAGTTTTAACATGAGCAAATTCTCCCCTAAAATAGTGGCCACCTTTATTGTGACTCTTTATCTTACCCTGGACAAAAGCTTTCGCCCGAAAAAATTGCACAGTGTAACAGGGCTAACATTTTCYTAGCTTGCGTTGCGACGGCACTGCATGACAAGTTGCTGAAGAAATTGTAACCGAAGCTATAKTTTTTTGTTCTTTCAAATGTGAGTTGCACGTCTGGAAACTACACGCCCAGTAAATCATCGCGCTCGCATTGCCCTAGAACCGCTTTGYTAATCACCACTTCACACTTATAAGGAACACTTTCTAGTATAGTAAACCTTACGCCACTTGTTATAGTTGGCCATATTATATTAACATTAGAGGTATTGYCACCTTCATGATTTACCTTAAAACGTAAAGCATATGGACAGTCTGAATCCCCTGTAGGGTTTTCTTTGTTTTCGTCAAATTCTAGTGTAGCTTTTAACATAGCTTCTAACTCCATGACGTTATTCCGTGCTTTTGCTAGTTCAGCGCGTATATTTTCCTTGGGTTTGTTCTTCTCTATCTTAKATGAAGTTGGAGAAAACTCATTCGAAGAACTCGAAGGTTGCAGTTCTTCTTGACTGGCTAAAGTTTTAAGGAATGTGAAGCTCTCAGTAAGAAATCCTGTGGCACTTGGTAACTCTTTTTCAGATAAATTCCTTTCTTCAATATCCCATAATGATAGTATATCGTAGGTTATTACACTACCCAGTGAGTGAGCAACTATGGACACCTTATCATACTTTTCCTTGAAGTATGGATTGCGCCTACAAAAGGCATCGTAGAGACGATTTATTTCGTCACGTACAGCGTTGATAATCTGTAAAAAAATACATAAAATACATTTGGCGTTCTTACTCCGTGATCCAAGCGCGTCTTGGATATAACTATTGGACACAACAACAACAATAACAACAACAACAACAACAACAATTTTATTAATAATTTCACACTACAAAAGTACAAAAATCCTTTCCCTCGCAAGACTATTCGGGGCGACGGCGAAAGGGAATTACAAAACCAAAATATTTATAACGATTTTAGCAATATTGTATTTATATTATAGAAAGAGAAAGGGAAAAATGAGAAAAGACAGGGTAGTATTAAACACTCGAAGATAAAAGCCCTATCTACGCGCGCCCACGCAATATCCTCATATGTTTCCTTGGTAATGCATGGATAGCATTAAAAAGTAATGCCATGGCTTCTTCGGGGTAATTAAAGTTTTACTCCTATGAAAATTGCMAATTTCAGTGTTCAAACTTGAGTAAACCTATCTACGATGYGTTTTTACAATATACAGCTATTTCAARAAACGYTGTCGGGGAGAACGGCGAACGACGATTGTCGAAGAGAGATTGCACGACCGAAAGGGACTATGGTTACACTGTTTTGACAAACAAATTTCACTTATTGGATTCACCTTGCGAAGAAATGGAGACTTAATGGAGCCAATATTTACAACAGTCCATCTTACAGTACAAATCAGTTGTTATTGCCTTTCAACTACCAAAACCCATGACTRCTTTCGGTCGTGCAATCGCCGTTGGACCACTGACATTCGCCATTTTATCCGACAACCTTTTTTGAAATAGCTATATATCGGTATATAGCTATTTCAAAAAAGGTTGTCAGTTGTTGTCAGCTGTGGTGGAACTAATATATTTACCTCATATCTGTAAAATGGGCTTGTATAATAAAGAATGTCCATCATACTAGTGTTTAGCAGGTTCCGAATACCACTTACAGTTTTAGGTGTAACACACTCAATTGTACCTGTTGAAAAAAAAGTCACAACTTTCCAACTAAGTCCTATGTGCAATCGCAAAACTTTTACGATCAGATATTCTTTTAACAATGATATGTTGTARAAACTACTTTCTGATAGGTTAAAAATCAAAGATTGCGATTTTATCGCGCAAAGGCTATCGGATGCAAGTGTTTAAATGTTAAATTGAAAGTATTTTTTCCTCTGCCTTAGTTAAAAAAATAAAGTTTTTACTTGGACCGAAAATGGACCTTCATAAGTAGTTTAACAACAAATGTACAAATTAAAAACAAAGCGCTCGCGGTTCTAGAATTAACATACGCGCAACTAATGTCGAACAGTCGTCCAAGATAGCACATCATGCTAACAATGTTGGTCACGATTTGGATTTCTCCGACGTTAAAATAGTGGACGTAGAAAAGGATCACAATAAGAGACGTTTCCTTGAAGCTTGGTACTCGGAGAGGGACAACCTTTYGGGRAACTACAGAATAGACATTCCTGATATTATCGAACATTAGTTGCGCGCATGTYAATTCTAGAACCGCGCACGCTTTGTTTGTAATTTGTACCATTTTCACGCGTGCCAATAATAGCGGTACTCTACTGATGAAGGTYCATGTTCGGACCGAAACGTCTAGTAAAAACTTCATCATTTTTTTAACTAAGCCAGAGGCAAAAACTACTTTTCAATTTATTATGGATCCTGGCTRCAATTTTCACATTTTTACTGGTTAAAAGTTGTTTTAAAATACTGCATGCGAGTCTTCTATCATAAMATTTATGTGAAATACCTTCGTCAAGTTTCAAAGACGTTCTCCATTCTACTGGTAAAAACTCCACACGCTGATTAGATGGAAAGCCAGGTATCTTCTTCTCGATTACTGTTCCAATACAAGAACGTAAGCTAGAATAGAAGTAGATACAAATTTTCAAAAAGGTGGATCTTATGTGCGCAGTAAGATATAAGAATACGCAAATTATACCGATCTTTTAAAATTTAAAATTAAAATTTAAAATTTAATCTTTTTAAAATTTCCTTTTACTTATTTATTTATTTTTCATGATTAAAAATTATTGGGTCAAAAAAGTTCAAACACCGCTTCATATATATTTTTTCCTTCTATTTCGACGTTTCTACAGTATTGCATTGACATGTTATTATCAATATTATTAGATGTTTTTAAAGGAGTGGTCCCATTATCTCACAACAAAGTACAATCTTAGAGAATTGCTAGGCTAAAGTCATGTTAGCATTCCGGTGATGGTGCCATAAAAAAGGGTAATTACTTAGTATATGTTGATACATTTACAGAAAAAAAATAAAGTTTATACACTCTATTAGTCTCACTTACCCATTAGTATTTTTTACAATGTTGCTCATATTCAATAACTGGCCAATACCATGGACAACAAACACCAAATGGGTTATTTCACATGGTTTATCTACATCCATGGCATCAGTATGATAGCCACGATGAAGGGGACTTGCAGCTATGGATTGAAGACACGAATGTAGTTTACTGTATATATAATGGTGGCATGCCAGCATTGAATGACCTTGCTCCTCTCCAGACCCTTATAATTGTCAATCATTAGCATTTTACCTGAGGAAAGTCCAATCTTGGTACCAACACCTCTGATAATCCTAGACTTGATGTCATCCCAGTATAACCAAACATCAGTGATATCATTCCATTCCACATAGTAGCCTTTCAGAGTGAGTCTCCCTAATGCTAATTACAACAYAAAAAAAGGTGTAACCATGTAACTATTAACTCTTTCCCCTCTTCCCCTTGAAATTTAGGTCGAATTCAACYTATGCGTCAAAAGTCTATAAGTTGCCGAAATAGTAAGCTAGAGCCCTGAAATTGCTCGTACGAACTTACTAGTAGATACTGTCGATCTTACAGTTAAAAGAATTTCGCAACGAGGAAACAAAAGACACAAAACATGACTCTGCTTTGAAATGAATGCCAAAATCTGAGTTTGAAGGACGGCAGAGTACACTGATTTTCATCTCAATTTGTAGCGTCAAAATATGTTCTCCTAGCAAAAAGTCCACTTGGTTTGGAAACCCCTTTAGAACGTCCTCATTTCGATGTTTTTATTTTGTCAAATGCACTGCAGATTTTTAAACAGCCCTCTTTTGAAGACHAKGWAYAACAAACTTCTATGCACGATCGAAATGCATCATGGGAAGACGGAAAATCTGGACATAAATCGTGAAAGCACTCTTCTTTTAAGAAGATTGAGCTCCCCCGCAAAACATCGGGCCAATTGCATTCTTTGGTTGTCAAATATTGCCAAAATTCAGGGACCGCGGAGCGGGATCTTGTTTGGGGGGGCTAGCGGCGAGGAGGTACTAGGGGGGTGGGAAATTTCTGAAATCTTAACTCTTGGAAATGCCATTTCCAGCGTTTTGAGGCGTTATCCAAGACATATTTACCGCAGACACGGTCAGCAATATTATCAATAGAGAATTCATAAGGAGGCTCTTCGCTTCTTTATTTAAGAAAATTCAAAATGTCGAAAATATTATTCGGGGGGCTCTAGCCCCCCAGCCCCCCCTGCTCCGCGGTCCCTGAAATTACCTTGGTAGGTTGGAAAATCTGCCACAGATGGACCAGAAAAGCGATCTTACAATGATGCCTCCAGAAAAAAACAAACCATGACTTGGAGCCATTGTTTTCGAAAAATCGCTTTCCACCTCTGATTTCTTCCAGAAGATTGTCTCTGCCTACTAGTCAAGCTTAATGATGCAAGCCTAGGGGCTCCTGTGGCAGTAAAAAGCTAAAAAAAACACTTATAAACGGGTTTTTAGGTAAATTTAGGCTCAACCAGTCGATAAACAAACGGCCTGACCTAAATTTACAAAACCCTGCATAAATTAATGCTCCCTAGGGAATTCAAATCCGAAATAGTTTTATTGACAGCACCTTATATGGGAGTCAATTATTTTAACAAGATGTTAGGGTCGAAAAATCTCAAAAATCAACAAATTGACATCAGTCGACAATGAGTTAAACCAATCATTCATACAGAATGTCTCTCATGTAAATAAAAATTCATTTTCTGGAGAGGAACTTCAAACATAAAAATGATTTAATGGTGGGCATTAAGATTTGAACCCGGCACTATGCCATTCCCTTACACTATATAACAACCCATTAAATAAGACTCCAGTTATGTAATGGAATTCATGGACGTAAGATTGGAAACATTAAAATGAAACTTCTATTTGTACATGAGAAGCCTTCTATATTTACATCAGAGACCCAGTGTATGTACATTCATAATTAGAGTCATACAAAAGATCCTAGTCCTGAAAATAAAGAAAGGGAAGATTTTTTTTACTCATACTGCTTTAGATAGTTCCTTCCATTTAAAATGATTCTATTCATAATATGTGTCGGAAGCTTGAATAGCTTTACTTAAAGTTTTGCTTTGATTATCAATATGAATGGCAATCAAACTGACTTTCAGTGATGTCGTCATATTTTTGAAATTATGGACCAAGTGTTGAAAGATCTGAAAAACGAGTGTGCAGGTAGAAAAAAAAAATCACAGCAAAATCCCTTTTAAACTTGTTTTGTATCATGTTTTATTGAATTTATGAGATTCCACTTTGACTAAAGCCAGACATTTATGCAAATTTTTGTAAAAACACAGTTTACTAATTTACCTGCATGTGTTGGGACTGAACAACATTTCTGAAAAAAGAGCATGTCAATTAYTATAGTTTGAGTCAAAGAAATTCCTTACCTTCTGTTCTGGCTTTATTATCTTCTTCCATTGGTCCTACATGAAGTCCCTGAAATATATTGTAGAAATAAGAAATTTTCACACAGTTCACACACTATGGGTGCTATGAAAAAGGCGCAGCTATGAYAAAATAAGGCCCTATGTGCYAATGTGTGCCACAYGGCACGAGGAAGACAGGTAACAGATATGATAAAATGGCTACAAAATGAATGTTTTCTGGGTGSTTTGAAGTATGGATTGTAGAACTACAAGACTTTGATTATGGTTTGTTAAACTGCATAATYGCAAATAGAATCATGGTTTATTCACATTAGCAGGTTAAATACTAAAATGTTAATTCATCATTATTGAACTATTAATCACAGAGTAAATTTAAATCATAATCTAAACTTATGCTATTCCAAAGCTGTCTTCAATGGATAACCATTTGAAACTAAGAAATGAGAAATTAGATGAGAAATTAGAAGGTTTGGTTTGCGCTTAAATATAAACCAAAAAGTTAAAAAGCTTAAAAAAAATATCTTAAACGAAGAATTGCCCATTTATTTGAGGAGTATGAGATTGAAAATCGTGAAAAGTGATCATTTTCAAAACCTAATCAAGTGTAGCCTCGGTAATCTTAAGGTAACTGGTTTACATCATGATGATATATAATTTATAACATCATTTTGGATATTACACAAAGGTCCACAAAGGACTTTCCTATTAATGACAAAGTTTGTATATTTTTGCACTTCAGCGATGRACTCTAACTAAACTGGACCATAATAGCTAACTCTTTAGGACTGACAATGGCAAATCTTATAGAATAAAGTCTTCMACATTTGATGCATACTTCAGGAGTAAATAAGAAAGCAACCAAGGTGTACATGTAAGTGCGCAGAGTTTGATGTTAATCATCATTAACTACAACATAACATGAGAAATACACTTAGCTAAAATTCATCATAAAATAAATTGCAAACATGACATACCATTGCCCTCCATATTGTCTGATGTGAATTCTCTATTTGATCTGCACTTTCCTCTGTAATTGGTTGCCAAAGATCAGGAGAGCTGGGAGCTCCTATGAACCATGTTCCTCTACATACCTCTAAGCTAGTTTCTAGATTTTACAAATAATGTCAAATAGTGAATTTTGGTTAAGCCTGGTTTAGACCTCATGCTATCGTCATGCCAAACCAAATAGTCAATACATTCGGTACAATGTTGATTCATGCATCAAACCAAATGCACTCCAAAGCATACGAAAAGGTCTGATAATTGATGGAATCAATTTACATCCATATTATTGYTGAWAACAGATATTTTTGTAYGTTGAGTTTGACATTATGAAATCTTGATGTTTGAATCAGCATCAATCTGTTGCTGTGCAGTAYGACTGGCACTGTTGTGCCAATGCCTTCCTAGGGTAGTGTCGAAACTTAATTGATTCATACTTTTGAGCTGTTCAAGTGCTAATTTAATCAAACTATTTGGTTCGGCATGACACTGGCTCAACGTATGAACCAGGACTTACAGACACTAAAATAAAAAAAACACAAGACATTATGATGGGARTCCATGCAATGATAAAATAAATCAATATTGAACAAATGATGTATAAAGGGATATGAACAAAATGAAGAGAGAAAGCATGCTGGAAACAATTATGAAATTTAAGGGAATATCATTAAGTCAGCTTATAGTGGAATTTAACAGATCAACAGTACCTTTTCMAAATGAGAAATGAACAAAAAAATCATTTCTTACATAACTGGTATCCCAAGGCCAGCAATTATCTGCTTTGGTCTGAGCAATGTTTTTTTTAAACAAATATAAAATGGCGCGCGTGTCTCTGTCCTCTGATATAAACACGGTGGGAGTTTGAAAAACACAAGAGAAGCAAAGTTAGGAACACAAGCGTAGCGGGCTATTGACATACGAACCTAGCCCCTGACARGGGCTGTTAGACTTTTATTGACACAGGGATCCCCCAGGGTAGGGCTTATTGACAATTTGATCAGAGACTAAACATTTTAGAATGTTATTTCATTCACTTACAACTGAGGGAAAGTTTGTTAAGCATGCATTAATCTAGGATTAACTCCATAGTTTTTTTTTAAGAGTTAAACCAGGCTCAGCTCTCATCGAGCTTTGAGCAATGCAGTCCTGGTGTACTTTACATTAAACCGTTATAATATGAGGGGCCTACTGTCATTTGATGTAGAATTTAAGAGGGGCTCATTGACATTTGTTTTCCAAAAATGTCAATAGCCCCTRGGTATGCCCAGGCTCCCCCMGTTGGGGCAAGCCATTGATAGGTGCATTAACATCAAGAGTGTGTCAATAAGACGACATGCAACTCAAAACGGTGCGTGCGCAATTTAAAGATATGAATATTATTAGGACCACATAGAAACGATATAGAAATGAAAGAAAGCTATAGTGCTTAGAAGGAGGCAATTCCGGGAGAAAGACCCTTATTCCAGGAGAAAGACCCTTGGGAATAAATTTGGAAAAATTAATTTCCGACCTCGCTGGGATTTGAACCCACGACCTTCGGATTTGTACTACCGATGCTCTACTATCCGAGCAACAAGGGCAGACTGGGAGCAGGTGGGGTGAAATAGATCCCAGCGAGGTCGAAAATTAATTTTTCTGAATTTATTCCTAAGGGACTTTCTTCCGGMATTACGTCCTTTTAAGCACTATAACTTTCTTTCATTTCTATATCGTGCGAAATTTGCTGAATATCAAATAGACAGTTACTAACTTAAGTTTTTTTATAGGCTATTAAAAGTACTTCAGATTACCTTTCCAATATAAAGGTGTGCACAATTTGGCAACAACATCTACTTCGAACAGTCCTCCTTTAACTATAGGATGGTCATACAAATTACGACTGTTACATGGTATCTCTGTGTCAGAATCTTGAGTACATTTCTCAAGTTCATCAATCTTCCTGTAACACTCCTCTATTGCAAGCGAATCACTTCCACAGAATGGAACCCACTTTTTATCTTCCTTGAAAAACCAGCGAACCTTTTCCGGCCTCAGCCCCTGAAGAGCATCAAGGTGCTGGGCAATACTAGCAGGTCGTTTTATATTGGGTGGTGGAGGTCTTGGAGGTTTGTTAGACGAAGAAGTTGTCGATGTCCCATTAGCTTCTTCGTCATCCATATTTGTGCTCGAGTAAAACGTTTTTATCGTTCAAATCATGTGCTTTTTTATGACAATATTCCTTAATCCAGAATATGAGTGTCCTCAACAAGCCTGATCGAGATGTATAAACAAGGAAACTTCGGAAACGTTTCTATTTGGGAAAAGTGTCATCATCTTTCGCCTTTTGAATATGTATTTGACCGCAGGTAGCCCACGAAGAAATAACTTACCAACCATGTTGTTTGCTGGTTGAATAACTTAGCCAAACGACCACAGGAAGCCCAAAGAGGAGCGATGAACAACATTCGGAGGTTCGGAGGGCAAAACAGGCAAAAGGACCACAAAGCACAATCAATAAGCATTAAAGTTTCGAAAAATAGAATGCAAACCGAAAAATAACAACACCAGTGTGGAAAAAACTGACCCAATTTGAATTCATTCTGCCGACTTCTCTTCTGGTATCTCTCATTACACGTACCCTGCTATGCAGGGGGTACGTGTAGTAAAATGCTGTCACTTTCTTGGTTTTTCTTTTTTTTTCACAATGTCGAAAGTTTGGCTTCGGTACATCTTCGTAGCCAATCACATTGTAAATTATATATCCGGTAGCCAATCACATTACGTTGTGTATTCCGAACGCTGTCGATAATCCCGTTCGCAACATTTCCAACTCGTTCTGCACAATGTTTTTTCCGCCATTTTGATGAATATTGTCTCTACTAACGAATATGGAACAGAACATGAAGGTTTACGACCAAAATCTGGAACTCATTACTTGTCTGGGTGTTCGGAGCAAGGGTATGTTGAATTATGATGACGAGGAGATCTCACTACAGAGATCAACACGCTTAGTACTCGTGAAGCAACGGCAACGATTATAATGCATCGGGTTCCAATGATTGAATATCAATACAACTCTTTAGAAAATGCTTATTAATTCCATGGCTATTCAAACATCTGCAATAGATTGTCGAGTTTTAATGTAGATGTGCAAAAATATTGTGTTGCTATCATATCAAAAGTTAATAAAGCGTCACGTTGTAACCAAATCATGCCTAGTTATATATCTCCGGGTATATCTGACCTTAAAATTATACTGCAGAATCACAAAGGCAGTTACAGCTGAAATTTTAAGAGCCACCACATATAAGCTTATCGCAAAAATCACATATATCTTGGCAAGGCTCGATGGATCAAATCATTTCTTTATTTTGTATCATTAAGGTTTTTAAAAGGCCTCATTTACTAACTATCTCACAACATCATGCACAACAAAGGGTACGTGTCAACCCTGCATACAGGGTCTAGTTCTAAGAATTTTTGCCAGGCCCGGGGAAAATAAAAAATTTCCTAACTAAAAAAATATAAGCCGTTTTTGACCACAAAAACGTTAAATAAGTCTTTTCTGACCTTAAAAACGTTAGCCTAAAACAAAATTACAGCGCCACATTTGCTTGTGAGATTGTCAACAATGTAGCTCAAAATCCCAGGAAAACATTCGTACAAGAACCTTATTTAGAAGAACAGGCCTCGTTGTCTCCTGTAAAGGGTCTATAGTATCGGTAGCATCTATTCTAATCTCTACAGAGTCTATAGTTATCAATACTAATATTGATAGACACACATATATTTAGATGGTTGATACATCGAGAAAACAGGAGCCGACGGGTTCCTGGGAGAAATCAGGGGCGGATCCAGGAATTTTCTAGAGAGGGGGAATTTATTTTCCAAATAATATTAAACACCAGCATTAAGTTTATATTTTTAATTATATTGTTTTGAGTTTCTATATTTCAACTAGATACATCAACAGGATTGAAAACGAAAAATTATATTTTTATCGGATTTTTTTGGGGAAAGGGGATTTTTTTTTTATTATCATAATTTTTTTTTTCATTGGGGAGGGGGGGGGGGGGATATTCCCCGTTTTCCCCTCCCCTGGATCCGCCCCTGGAAATATATCTGTTCTTATTATATATCAAGTGTCAAAGTTCACTTTTCCTAGTATCTTATTGGTCGAGAGTGTACCACGTGAAAGTCACAAAATTTTACTGTTTCCCGGCAACTGTCCACCAGCGGTCAGTAATATGTTGTGGACCGTCAATAAGTACAAAGTCGCAGAAAAACAATTTTCAGTGTCGTGAAAATGTCACATTTACGGACGTTGCAATTCCAAAATTGTTATGAAACATTTAATTTCGACTACAAATAGTTAAATTAGTATTCATTGTGTTATTACATTGATTGATTTTAGTGACTATTTGTATTGCCATTTTTCAGTTATTTTATCAAAATCTTTAATAAAAACAATTCATTTATTTACTTTTTTTTGCTCTCTTTGACACTTGATATGATAATAAAGCACTTATTTACTGGAAACCTCGGGAAACAGCATGTTTTGCGGTCCCTCGACCGCTGATGTTTCCCTCAGCTTCGCTTCGGGAAACATCAGCGGTCTCGGGACCACAAAACATGCTGTTTCCCTCGGTTCCAGTAAATAAGTGTTAA